ACAATCATATAAGATAATTGTTTTCCATAATTACTTAAGGAAAAAACGTCATAGGTTTCGTTAAATGTTTGGAAGAAGATACTCTTTCTTGAATTAATATTTTCGTTTTTTTAACAAAACCAATGCTTACGTATGCACATTACACCCAATCTACGTATTACACCTTTTCGATGAATTGGTAGTCAAACTATACCGAAACAGTGATAGTGACATTTTGTGAACTTTCCTTATATAGTTTCGACGTACTCTATGTACTGTAGTACGTACAACGTATTTCACACACTTCCTCAAAGCTCAAAGAAAGCATTCAAACTCTATAAAAATGTCCCCGCCTACTAGAAGACAAACTCGCGTTTACACTACTCTCGCATGCGAACAATGTAAAAAATCAAAGACTAAATGTATCCAATTGACCAATATCCACGAGAGCAATTTTCGCAATAATAACGAAAGTAATAAGTGTTGGGACAATAATTACTCCGATAATATATTGGTCAAACAAGAACAAAAAGCGAATAAATTCACGAGCCCTAGTTCTACAAATAATTCCGAAAAAGGTACTTCCGGGATCGAAGAAAATCGGTACAAAAAAGACGAAAGAGATAGTGAAAAAAAGAACCTTAATGAAATAGATCCCGATTCGAATGAAATCTCGGGGATAAATCAATGCAATCCATCCAAAACCAATGAAATCTTGGAAAATTCTCGAATTGAAGCAAATAGTTCGCAGAATCATCTTCCAAATTTCCCCGTTTACCTAACCTTCACTGTTAACACAAACGCTAATAACAATAATCAAATAGATGCTCCAGATAGATCCCCTTGTGAACGGTGCATGAAGCGTAATCTTAAATGCGAATATGTGGTTTCTTCTAAAAAGCGTGGGCCTAAGACAAGGAATGCTAAAATGTTGGTAGAGAATCTTGTTACTCGGGAGGATGTTAATGTTAATTTATAACTTTGTTATCTCAAATCGTAATAAGAACTTAAAGAAGGAGCTTTTCCTTACAGAATTTCAAATGAGATTGCTTTTTCACGAATAAATAATAATGCCAATAAATTGTTTTACCGTAACAAAATCCTTACCTATGTTCTATAGGCTAATGACTAAAATAACAAATCAAATAAACATGTTGATCTGATAACTATATTTAAGCAACAGAATAAGTATAAAGACGAACATTGCTACTACACCAATTCAATAACATATATATGTTGTATACAATTATATTATGCTCTTATAATACACTTTTCTGAATAGTTAATTTAATATTTATCGGTAACTCGGAGGGAGAGGGGACTTATAAATTTCTCAAAAAAAAAAACAAAACTAGATTGCAGATAAAAATCTATTTTATAAACGGTTCTTTTAAAATATGTATTTTTTTATTCTATCAATATGTTATTATTTAACGTATTCTAATTTGTAATCTATATGCAGATTTATGTTATTTATAGATAATAAACAATATAACAAAATACATTAATGTGATTGTACTTATTCAAATTACTTAGTATGCATAAATATAATTGATTTTGACTTTATTTGAATAAATTTAAATTTTAGTATTGTATGGTTATAAATATTATACACAAAAATTTATAAAGAAATTACATATTATCATATATCATTTTTACCTCAGAAAAGGATATTAATGAAAAATCAATAACAGGAAGATACTAAGTTAGAAAGGCCAATGTGATATACTAAAGTTTCTAAAAATATACAATATTAGTACAGTTCTGAAATTAACGAGATCAAGCAAAATAGACAATAGTAATTTATTTTTGTAAAGGTCTAATAAACCAAAAATTCAACCTTATAATTTCAAGAGAAATTGAGACATTTATAATTATGTTTTTTATATATGATTTGTATATATAATAACTATAAATTAGATATTGCTAACCTATTTAATAAATCTTAAAATTAAATAGATCAAAGATTAATAGTAGCAGTAATCCATTTGTTTTAAAGAAAAATAGTCTTAGTTATAATATATTAAAATCAATGAAATTAAAAAATTTAACAAAGTTTATTTATATACAAAAGATATAATAATTTGATTCATAATTTTAAAATAGTTTTTATTAAAAAATTAAAAAAAAAGTTAAAAATTTTATTAAAAAATTGGAAAGAATAAATATTCTATTGTAACAAATTTTGTCTATATTATTAGTTATCTATACTTAAATTATTAAATACTTGTTAAATATTTTATATAGACTATTTACTACTTATTAATATAGTAAAATCTTTTATTTTTATATATGATTATATGACAAAATTGGATTTTGTTTATAAACAATACTTATAATTAATAAACATTATATAATTAAAATATTAATTAAAGTATAAACCTGTGGATCTATAGTATAGTAGTTAACACTCCACAGGTCAAATCACAAAATACCAGTTCAATCCCATGTGAGGGCAATTAAATAGAATTAATATAGTATCTGGCACCATAACCTATAAAAGTGCTGTTTTTCATAAAAAGCAGTTTTACATGCTAATCCAGTGGGCATTGGGATTGAGATTTCTAGAAAAAAGTGTCATGGCATAACAATCATCTGGATGGTGTTATGAAAATTGTCAAAAGTTGCAAAGTATATAAGATATTCGCTTTCAGTAAAATAATTTAGTGATTGTTCCTTTGCGATATCTGATGTCTCTTTCTATAATATAATCAAAAAGGTCCTATTCTAATCCAGTAATAGATCACTTCGACAGTTACTTATCCCGGGAAGGCAGCCAAAACAGCAGTAAGGCTGCTAGAATTACTCTATATAGGCAGTAAGTCTGTGAGATAAGTCCCTTAAATGTTCTTGAATAGCTCAAGGAGGAATAGAAATTAAATGGTGTGTCCATCTGCAGGTGATCAAATTTGGAAGATTATTTCTGTAGTGTTCTTTTTGTCAAAATATAGGTATTACCCCTAGTGTCCCAATTTTAATTTCTCCTTAATTTTCTATAGTGCTAAATAGAACACCTAGTAACAGCAGCATTAAATGCTAAGATAAGATTTGATTAGCAAGCAATGTGACAATTTACATCCAAATGGCTATATGCCTGTAGGTGGATTCTAGTTTATATAAGAATTTAATATAGATTAACAATGTATATACTTTGTATGTAATGATCTATCTATATAATAAATATAGACTAGAGTAAAGTCTTACTTTAGCAGTTTAAAAAAAAATTAACTAAAGTATTAAGAAAAAATTAATTTAATACATTATATAAATTGATAAGAAAAATATTACTCTTATTGTATTCAAACACTTGTATAACTAATATATTTGAAAAAAGATTTATATGGTCTTTTGTATATTCAAAACATTTTATAAACATTTATTTTTACAATTGCAGATATTATAGTTTTTACAAAAATTCCTTAAAAGAAAGATTATATGAGTTTTATCTTCACTTTAAGTTATCTTTAGTATAAGCAACTGTAATAATATTACAAGTAGAATTAATCAAATTTGAATCTTAATATTTTTATTCTAACTATTAACAAAAACAATAATAGAAACATAAGATAAAGAAATTCTAAAAACAGATTATCATGTTACAAAATATACTCTATAATATTGAAACAAAAAAATCCCAACAGATAACAAAATTAAATCCAAATTTAACAATTATTACCAATGGCACAACACATATCTTGAAAAATAAAAAGACTTCAATAATGAATTTTTACTTTAATTACAAAATACATGATTCTAAACTATATTAACAAAATATTAAATCAATAAGAAATAAAATATACTTAAAGACCTTATTTTATAAGCAGTTACAAAACACATTAAAAAATATAAGAAAATAAAGAAATCATATAAGGCATCTAACCCTCAATATACTGTATATCCTATACAAAATCTCAAAACTTTAATCTTTGAATTCAACTTCACAACAATCTTATAATAAAAAATATATTTAAAGACAAAATAATCAAATAATAACAAAACTCAAAAACCTTCACTTATTCATAATAGAACCTCCAATAAAACTATACAATAATTTATTTATTCAATAAAATAAAAGTTTAAACCTGTTAATTCCTAGATAAAATTAGAGACTTTATATATATATTTGAGTTATATTATTTTTATATATAATAAATATATGCTATCATAAAAATATAAACTAAAGTATAGATTCTATTTTTATCAGAATATTTAACTTTGTTATTATTTATATAAATAAATACTTAGACTAAAGCTTCTAAAAATACCATTTCAATACTATTTCAATATCAGTTCAATACTTAAATTTACTATAAAATCATATAAATAAATCACAATTCATATACTAAATTTACTATATATCAGTACTATTTTAATATTAGTTCAATACCAATTTGATATTTTTCAAAGTCTTAACTTAGGTAAAGATAATATAAAAAGTAAAAATAAAAAAAATAAAAAAATTTTAGAAATAAAAAAAATGTAATTGATGCAATAGATACTAAAGATGCAACAACAGATCTGTAATACAAGATTATTTTAAAACAGATAATATTTCAAGAGTAAATATTAATAAAAATTGGAAAAATATAGTAAAGATCTTAGGTGAAAATCAAGTGTAACAATTTTTTCCTATTAATTTATAAGTTTATATATTTAATCTTGTGTTAGAATAATAAAATCTAAGTAGAACAGTTATCTAATTAGGCAAAAAATAGTGAATCAGATTTTATAAATTTGATAGATTTCAACTTTACTAAAATGATAATATGAATATATAGAAGCTAAAGAATATCTGATAATTTGTAAATTTAAATAGAATTTTTGTGTTTGGTTAAGAGTTGTTTTCAATAATTTCTTAAAATAGTAAATACAATATACACAAGAGTTATAATCCTGTTTCTTCTTCATAATACCCCTTATAACTTTTAATAAATATTCAAAAAATATAATTCAGTAGTCTGCAGAAGATCATAAAAGGCTAGTGCAATATCTATATTTTTAGGAGTGTTTTGTAGAAATCATTAACTGAAATAGTATAAGCAGCTATAGATAGGACTCTGAAAAAGTACCAAACTGGTATTAAAATAGTATCAATCTATAGTAAATTTAATATATAGATTGTAATCTACTTATATGTTTTTATAGTAAATTTAAGTATCAAATTGGTATCGAAGTGGCATCAAAGTGATATCGTTAGGAGCCCTAGCTATAGAATTATTATTTGTATATTAAGAATATTCAAATTTAAAAAAACAGCATATTGTTTGAAGCAGTAATTATTTTTATAAACTTTTGGAAATATTTTTGAGATTCTGGTAGGTTTCATTATGTTGTATACTTAAAATCTTCTTGAAAACCATTTGACAAATAATTATTAATTTAAAATTCTTTTGAAAATATCAAGAGAAAATTATTTATCAAGAAATGCTTACCTAATTTGCTCTGGTTTCAGAAATTTATTCTAGAAAACAATTATCTTGCTTTAAAAAAAAGTCTAAGTTTTAAAGTATTAAATTTATCAAGAAGAGAGATTCAGGATTTTGGAACTAGTGATGAAAAAATTGAAAAAAGAATTGAAGATATTTCAAGATGTATACTTCTTTTACAACCTCAATAGGGAATTGAAAAACTTAAACTTGAGAAACAGAGTATCTTATTTGAAAGGTTTTCTTTATATATTGGGAAATCCTCCACCTACTTTTTTTAACAAGTCTTTTTTTTGTTTTCATTTAATTAAAAATTGGTTTTTATTTTATTTTCTTTGCAATTTTTTCTTTAAAGTTTGTGGATTCATTGTAGAAGTTATAGTAATTGTTGAGTATACTTTGTAAGCTGACTGTAATAAACAGGAAGTATTCTGTGTGCCACTTCCATTATATTGCATTTTTTGCTTGTTTCTTTAATTTCTTCGGGTTTTTTTTTTATTCAAGAGTTTAATGATATTTGTACTGGATTTGGTACAAGTAAAAAACTGGATTA